GAAAGTAGATTCCGTGCACCATCTGCAGCAACTAGTATCTTTTCGGTGCAAGTTCATTCAGGAATGTTTTCGAGAAAAATCCGAATGCCGGGCTAATTTTACTGACGTATAAGAAATATGTTACAAAGCTGATATTTTCCAAGCGCCTGTATTGCTACAAATGAGATTTCAAAAACTCGAACAGGTCGATTTTCGAGTGTTGTGCTCTCACAGATAAGCGATTCAACAATTTACTATTGCTGTCCCTCGTCATAAAAAAAATTACATTAGATGTGGCAAAGTATAAGGAATTACAAGGTCTAATTTTATCAGTCAAAGACTTCTGACAATCAAAATGACGAAACAGATAAAATAAAATTGAATTTTATGACGGGATACAGAATGATTTCACTTATAATGACGCCTTTTTTTCAAGTTTGAGATGATTAACATGAAGACGGTATAAAAAGTGTTTTGCTTTTTATTCCCGAATTTGTGTACTATTGCATAATGTCTATAAACAATATACGCGAAGTATTCATAATGCTGAATCGATCAGTAAAATATGCTGTTGAGTAATCAACTTTGAAAAGAAGATTTAAACATTTTTCTTCAGTATTAAAATAAAAACAAGCTTTTACTTCTCACCGGTACTCCATGAGTGGGAGAAGAAGAAGAAATAGTAAATGAGAAATAGACAATAGATGAATAGTTCTTAGTGTAGTTGATGACGAAGGATCTATACCTGCTGAGGTCGATGAAGTAGCATTTGTATATGTACCGGCTGTCGTTATTCTTATCCAATCTTGATAATAAGCTACGCGAGTGTAAACACCAGCATAAGCCGCACGTGCGCATCCAATACCATAGCTAGTCACACCAACTAATTCCCATTGACTACTTGTTGTAAACATCATTAGAGGACCACCAGAATCACCTTGGCATGTATCTAGAAAAAGAAAAAATGACATAATAAAGAAAAAGAAAGGAAAACACTCAATAAAAATTACCTTTACCACCACCAGAAACACCAGCACAAAATTGCACTAGCCGATTATTCAATACAGAACTACAAGTAGATCCACGATAGTCAACGGTTTTAACGGTTACTTGTTGAAGAGTTGATGGCAATGAACCTCCTTCCCATAACGTACCCCATCCTACAGCCACAACCTATCATATAACACCGATTATTGATTTTAAAGAAAAAACAAAGATAATGTGACTTACAGATAAGTCAGCTGGTGGCCATTCACCAGCGGATAGCGTAACTGAGCTTATAGATGGAATACATATAATATTCACTGCCGAACTTGACATTGTTAATGGAGTACTGAGCCGTATTAGAGCAATATCATTTATCTTAGTGCTACTGACATAACTTGGATGTACAGTAATACTAGATGCAACTCGAGATTGACCAGAAAATCGAGTATTCGAGCCAGCATAGACAGTTACTTGTGATGCTGAGATTCCATATACACAATGTGCTGCTGTAATAATCCATGAACTTGACAAAATAGCTCCACTACATAATGAAGTACCACTTATAAAATAGACACAGCCCAACCCCAAGTGCTTGTTCCTGCTGATTTCCCACCAACAATGCGAGTAACGGATGCTGCATTAGACGAACATCCACATGGTGCACTTGAATTACATGAATAAATGTATTGGTAGCTTGGTTGAACAAAAAATAATAGCAGCACCACCCAAAATATAATCATGACACTGTTGCATGTTAATTTCATTTCTTCGTTTCGAAGTAATGATTAACAGTGGTGACAAAACACCGAATATAAATCTTTGATTGGTACTGTGCAACTATTTTCTTCATTTTCTCGCTGATGTTTTTAACTCATGGATGATGTTATTTAACTGACAGTACTTTCTCGCGTTACTCATGATTGAGTAAACATCGATGAGATTTTTATAAGATGTCTATACAAAAAGGATTTTTTAGGTTCTTCATAATAACTTGTTGCAAATGGGATAAGAGAAAGAAAAAAAAATGCATCAACAGGACCGTCGTTTGTTCTTTAACTGACTAAAAAATGAACGTAGACGAATGTACTGAACAAACAAGCACATATTCAAAGAAAAAATCACGTTTTGCTATACAAACTTGATGGTATTCGCTGAAAAAAGGAAGTTTGTCCAAAGTGAAAACAAAAGGATTTTGAAAGAATGTTTTTTCCAACATAATAAAATGCCATGAAATAAAAACATGATGACGATACAATTAGAATTCTATGCATGGCAAAAGTGAATTAAAATTGTAAATAATCATTAGTTTGAAAATTCAAATTACTGAAATCTCTGTTAGAATATAATATTTTTTAACAAGATGGAGATCATGCTGGAAAGAAGAATGAGGACCAAGTAAGATAGCAAATTTTTAATTTTTTTTTCTTATGGAAATTTAATTTTTCTTTTTGCATTTAGATTGAAGCATTACAAAATCTTCTTTCTATACGAGTTCGAGTTTCTTCGGAAAAGTTAATATAGAATAATATGTGGAAAATTAGTTATGGTACTTTTCAAATGAGCTTTCTATGACTTTCTTGAATGTTATTCACTTTCGAAATCTAAATTTTTGCTTGCTAGAAGTTCGCTCTTCAAAAAAATCATCTCGAGATTTTGTTTTTAAAGGAAAAATTAAAAGACTTGAACTGAGGAAATCGAATTCAATTATGTATACGGGGGAAATCATTTGTTAGTGATGGGACGATATACGAATATACAAACGAAAAAACGCTCTAATAACCGAATGAGATATTAAAAACAAATTCGAAGCAAAACAAATCCTTCTTCAAAATATCTAAACGATGATAGAACAAAAACTATTGCTTCGAGATTTGATGGAATCTCTAGAAAATCGTTTTTTTTGTAGTCTAATCTTGCAGAAAGTTTCATTATGGATGCAACTCTTGCCTGCAAGTCTATCCTGAAGTTTTCGAATTTTGTCTCGTATGGTTAGAGAGATATTCACCAATTACTTTTTTTTTGAATAAGTAACCAGCTAAATGAGTCAATATTTTGTATATGTCTGCGCAAAAGGAGCTTACTCAATCAAATAACTCTTTTAAAAAATTAAATTCAAATAAAAGATGGAAATGTCCCATATACTCCTTCGTTGTCAACTATTTCGAATATTGGATGTGCAATATTGATATACAGCCATCTTAACATTTATTTTGCTTTTTCTCATTTGGATAAAAGGCGATTTTCAGTAAATGAAAAAAAGAGAATAGAAACATATTTGAATTCGACTGTTTTGTTTATTGTCGAAAATATACCTCGATACTAATGATGTCTATCCTGATCTTTCATTCCATCCTTTTACCAAGTGGCAAAGATACAGGTATGATATTACCTGAATCATCGCTAATTATTAAATGTCTTTACAATAAGAACAGTCAATAACATACAAAGAAAAACAGTCTTAACTATATGTTCAGATTGTATTCATCGATAAACGATAGTCACTTTGAGTACCATAAATTAAGAAATTCGTGCAACAAATACGAAAGTATAAATAACATAAACTTGAATAATTTTGAATAATTGCATTACAATTTAAAAATATCGATAAACGTAGAAATAGTTGTTCGTATATAAAAGTACTATATGCTAAATTTTACATCAAAGAATGAAAACAAGTTTTCACATACTAATTGATCTTACAATTAAAATTTTATTGAGATTGATTAAAATTTTTCCCGTTAAAATATTATTTGTCAGTTATGTAAATTGTTTCGAACATATTCGAATATTACTTAGATTTATAATGATAATCTTTTATGTATATAAAAAAAAAGGTTAATAAATAATACAAGAAAAATGCTTTATAAAGACGAAATAATCATTTAATTATTCAACTGCGAATGTAAAAAAAAGACGTAAATACAGTAGTGGCCAAAATTATAAGAACAAAGTTTTTTTTTATGTGTCAATGTATTTTCATCTCCTCTTTCCTTGCGTAGATTGATCTATCAGTTGGTGTATATNTGTATATACATTCGAGTACTCGAATGTATATACACCAACTGATAGATCAATCTACGCAAGGAAAGAGGAGATGAAAATACATTGACACATAAAAAAAAACTTTGTTCTTATAACTTTGGCCACTACTGTAGTTAATATTTATCGAAACAATGACCACATGATGAGCAAAATTTCGCTGTAATATTTTGTCGCCCTATACTACATCGAGAACAAAATCTTTCCATTTGCAGAGAATATTGTGCAGTTGCATAATCATCTTCTTGTAGAACAAATGATACTGATTCAGGAGCAACTTTATTTGAATAACGTATGCGATTCAGAGCTGCCAACAGGCCACTTTTTTTCAGCCTGGCCTGGCCTGCCTGCAGGCAAAACCAGGCCAAATGGTGTATTTGATTTTTCAGATTGGTAAATTGATACTTTGGCAAAAATTTAAGACATCAGTTTCAGTTACGTATTTAATCCTTTATCATCAGAATAATATGATTGCACATCTTTACAAAAAACGGATAATGAAAATCAACTCATTTTAATGAGTTTTTTTTCGAACAATAAATGCTAGAATTTAGAAAATATAATGATAAAGTTTATACCTGTTTCACCTACACAAGAAAAATATACATAATAGCAAAAACGCAATATACAATAGAATACACATATACTTTATGACAGTTAATATGCCAAATAAGACATGAGACAAATAACAAAAACGTAATATTTTCAAGGCTCCCCTCCCCTCAGAAATGAACGTTTTTATTTTTCGGTGGAGTTCAACCAAAATTTCAGAGAATGTTAGTCTTCACTAGAGTAGATTATGGTTAAAATATCTCCTTAAATCTATTAGTTATTCACGAGTTATCATCTATTTATTAGTCAAAAGTGCCCTGTAAGCGGGCCAGGTTTTTACAATTAGGACACGAGTACACATAGCGAGGCTATTTTTACTGTAGAGTACCCTTGGCACTAGATTCTCACAGAGCCCGATTTTCAAAATTCCCTTCGTTTGTTATATAAAAACTCTTCTCCAAAAACTTCTCGAATCATGACCAAAAAAGAACACAAATATAATTGAGACATTTGAGTTCTCTATTTTACCAATAGAGAAATTAAAAAATCGGGCTATGTGAGACTCTAGCCCCAGAGTTGTAACCGGCTCGATTTGGCCGGACTGGATCGGTTGAAGAAGAGTTTTTATATAACAAACGAAGGGAATTTGGAAAATCG